TTTTGTCCGAGAACAAATGCTGAGTATGTGCCTAAGATAATCTTTTTTCTATTGTACATTGTCTCGCGAAACATCTTTACGTTTGCCGTTTTCAGGCAGGCATAGCATTCCTTTTGGAAATCAATTGTTAATAACTATGCTGTGATTAAATATTATTTACAAAGAAAATTCATATAACGTGAAGTGCAGTATTCTGTTCTGCCTGCGAAGCGTACCATTTAAAAAGCAAATAGTATCAAAGCGCAGGCGCTGCGTAATCACTAACGCCATCTATCGATTCGTTCAAATTTACGGATTTTTTTAGTGACATCCATCGTCTATCTATTATTTAAACTATAGATAGATCTAATATTACGATCGTCACTTTTTGTACGACTTTTTTGTCACGTTTAATGTTTGTGCTGATATATACATCATTTTTTATGATATTTTTATACTGAATCGTGTTTTCTTCTAATGGTCTAAAACAAAACATGAACCAAACGTATAAATGTACTTTTTACAAGTTCATTGACCGCCGTCGTACTTTTATTAAATGTGATAGTCGTAATCAGTGGACCAGATCGAACGTCCAATGTATCTTAAAGTGCCGAATAGATGCTCGATAAGAATTATACGAAATCGATCAAATTGATCAATTGATTGATTTTTATCATCGAAATTCAGCTTGTCCATTCTTAGAAAAAAAAATTATTACAAATTGTTAAAGATATAATCAAATTCTCGATGAAAGTGTCGTTATATAAGAAAAGATAAGCTATTAATCTCATATTAAAAAACACATATATTGTGCGTTAGTTTCATTTAGAAAAAATTTTGAAATATATATATATCGAGATTGGTTCGACAAGTGCCTCTCTTTTTCGTCGATTTATTTTGTAATATAAGTATGCGTGAATATACGAACAGAGTAGAATTTATGCGAATGTACTTTGTATCGTATTATATAGTATGCTTGTATTCTTCGGTTATACATATATGTGTACATACATATATACTTACATCTATATGTACCATTGTAAAATTTCGTAGAATGTTTCTAATAAAATCGTATTTTTGGAAACTACAAAAAATTGCAAATTTGATTAAAAATATCTATTCATAATAAAATAGAAAGAACTAATCAAATATTCGAATGAAAATCATATGTAATTATATATAAATAACTTGTCAATAGATATGAATTAAAGAAATTTACGAAGAACATCAAAACATTTTGCATTTAAAAATGTTTTAAAATTTACTATTATATTATATTATTATTATATTAAATATAATAATAATATAACAATTATTTTATAAATATTTTTTTTATATGCTACAAATTACTTTATATCAAAAGTAAACTGAATGTAACAGTGAAATTTCAGTAATTATAAAGTCTGAATGTTGATCGATTGATGTGAATTACCTATAAAAATGTTTGTATCTATTGATATTTCGATAAAATTATAATAAAAATTAATAAATGAATATCATAAATGAGTTTATTCTATTTATAAAAATGAGATATATGACATGTTGAAATAATTATTAAATGATAAAAAAAAATATAACTAAAAAAATTTTTACATTCCTCTTCATACGGAAAATTTATCAATTCCTCTTCACACGGAAATTTATCAATTCCTCTTCACACTATCATTCATTAATTCCTCTTCACACGGAAATTTATCAATTCCTTTCCACACGGAAATTTATCAATTCCTCTTCACACTATCATTCATCAATTCCTTTTCACACGGAAATGGATCAATTCCTCTTCACACTATCATTCATCAATTCCTCTTCACGCGATCAATTATCAATTCCTCTTCACACTGAAATTTATCAATTCCGCTTCACACGGACATTCATCAATTCCTTTTCACACGGAAATGGATCAATTCTCCTTCACACGGAAATTAATCAATTCCGCTTCACACTATCATTCATTAATTCCTCTTCACACGGAAATGGATCAATTCTCCTTCACACGGAAATTAATCAATTCCGCTTCACACGATCATTCATCAATTCCTTTTCACACTATCATTTAAAAATGAGATATGACATATTGAAATAATTTTATAATTAAAAAAAATATAACTAAAAAAATTTCTAAAATGTGTAGAAAAATAAATATAAAAATACCATATACATGATCACATAATTTAGGGCAATGGATATAAATAGATATAAATTCACATCGTTTGAAAGTATACGACAATTGGCTTTATTTTGACGCGAATTCGTCAATTAAGGAATAAAAATTAAATACGAGTTTGAATTACATGTGTTTCATAAATGTACGCATACGTATATATGATATAAGATCGACATTTAATAAAATATAGTCAGACAAAATATCGCAACAAAATAATGAAGTTGTTTATTTATGATTTTTTGCTGCAGTATTGCATATTAATTCTGTCAATCTTGATTTTATTCTATCGAATGTATGTTATCGAATGACTGATATTTTTATTTATATCGACTAGTGCGTCTTGACAAATCGAAATTTTTCTAATTGAAGATATTTCGAGAAAAGATAAAAGTACAAAAAAGTTAAACTACAAAGTTAATATATGATTAATAGTATTTTCAAATTTCATTTATTGACAGACATATGAAGCAATCGACTATTTTTTTTCGCATATAAAATATATAGTCTCTACTACTAACAAGATTAGCATATTAAATATATATATCGGCGATTGAGACAACAGTTTTTGTTTTTTATTCTTTTTTCCAATGATTTCCTTTTCGCGGGAAATCGAAAGAAAATTTACAGTCAAAGAATTTCATATATTAAAAGGTATTTACATCTGTGCGTGCAAGAAGTATCAAAGTAATATATTAACAGAATTAATAGCTATGTCTGCGGTGCAAAAATTTATCCTATTTAATTTAATCGTACTTAAATGAATAACGTACAAAGCGAAGAATCGGCACAGTTTGGCAATAATAATGATATTAATAAAAATAATAATATTAATAATACCGAATACCAAAAGAACTTCTTTCTCCATACATAGAATATAGAAAAAGAAAAAATTTCTATAATTTCATTTTTATACGCCAATTATGTAATTGACGTCACACGTAAAAGCGTATATCATTTTTACATCGCAATGATTTCTTACAATAGAAATGTCCGTGCTTAATTATTTCCATTTAATCGTTTGTAACAATTAAAATATGTTTCATTTTTAACATTATGGGATACAATAAGCACGGACATTGATATAGAAATTCTTGTGATGATCTTTTTTTGAATTACAATAAATTATGCTTGTTGTTATTTTCATTTTTTTCTGTCACTGCATTAAATAAAATAAAATAGCAAAACTATATATTGTCTGTATAACGAATAAATGTGATTAATTCATGTAATTTCATCATGATCGTGATGCAAAACAAAAAAAAAAAGTGGCAAAAATTTCGATAATATGCCTTAATTATATTCATACCTACATATCATACACGCGTTAGTAAATATAATATAAATCCTGTCAATAATAATAATGCTCAAAAACTTAACAAAACAAGCTTTCTTCTTTCTTCTTTCTTTATAAACGATCGCGACACTATGCAGAGTCCAGCAGTGCCAAGGTCTGCGTTCTCAGCACGACTAACGCTGCAGGCAGTGACGGTGGCTACCTAATCCGTATTAATATTACATTAAATTCTATATTATTTAATAATATGTATATATATACAGGATATATCCGTACACACCAGGTCAAACTCTAAATCTTTTTTTTTTTTTTAAATAATTACGGCAATGACGAATGAATTGCGAAAAGAATATCAACAAACGTAATGTTAAAAAAGTTTATATTAGACAAATTGATAATCACACTAAATCCTACACGTATCTTCATTCGTTTCCTTCATTGAAAATTCCAAATTGTATTGTAAAACCTCCTACCGATTTCCCGTGAATGAAAAACCATTTATCCTGTCTGTAATCAAATCGCAATTGGTAAAAACGATTCGCGTCCGTACAATTCATTTTACGACTACGACAATTTATGAAAATAGACATGATTACATTCTTAAACGATGTCGATGATACACGTATCAATCCACGAAAACTGGCATTCTTCGTGTTCTACCATAAAATAGCAAAATGAACACGAATATTGTTGAGATAATCCGAATCTTTTTTTTTTTTTTTTTTTTTCTATCGTAATAACGAATGAGAAACTTTTATCTTGATCACTTAATCACTGTCCGTTTTACGCAACATCAGCAAATACAGGAGTTTTCTAGCTACTTGCACTACAATCACTTTAACGATAGCTTTTTCTCTTTTTTACAAGAAGATGAAAGACGATCCCCGAACATATCTTGTTCTGACGACGCCAAAGGCACCAAGTAAAAGAAATAACCTGACTACTCGAACGTTTGAATCCAATTGCTTTTCCTGTCGCACATTACCATTTTTTGGCACTATTTGGCCACCTATTAAAAATCAAAACACATTATCACGTGTTTTATTATGTCGAGTTAGGTGTGAATCGTATTTATAACTTTAATCTCACAAAGATTTATATTTCAACTTAATTTATAATATTTGTATCTTTGAAGAAAAATTTATGAATGGTCAAATTTAATATGCAATATCTATTTCTTTTTTGCTTTTAATATTGTAATGGTTCACTTTCAATGAAATTATTCCGTTATTTCATCCTACTAGTAAGAAAAGGCGAAATGATCTATATATATATATATATATATATGTGTGTATATATATATTATGTATAATTTTATCCTTATATAAATAAAACAAAAAACGACAATGGCACAGAATGTTACTAAACTTGTTATGTTAGCTTTGATTTAGCATTCGTTTAATTATTGGCAACGTGACGAATAGTTTAAATATTAACGTTAGTTTCGAATATCATTCCCTTAATCATTCCTACTCTAGTTTTGCTGATTTCGTCGCATCTCTCATTTATTCTACACATTCTCTCCGTTTCTTTCTCACAGACTCTGTGTTCAAATATTATTTTTGTTTTTTTTTTTTTTTTTTTTNTTTTTTTTTTTTTTTTTTTTTTTTTTTTTTTTTTTTTGAGAAAACTTCTGAACTTTATCTCGTCTGCATCTCTTGGATCATTGTGCGTCCTTGGAAACTGACTAGCACATGGATTTTGAACAAATAAATTCATTATGTCTTTTTCGACATTTCCACTTATACGTGTTTTATAAAAGCTCCCGTGACAATCGTATTATGCATACATGTAATCATTAACAAATACGATACTCGCGAGAGTCTTGTTTCGTTAATGCTGAAATACGAAAAAAATATTTTATATGAAATTTATTCATTATCACTGTTGTACAGAGCCGATACCAAATATAACGCCCATTCTCATCTTGATATTACCGAGTCTTTATTTCCCTTCTAACTTATTCATTGCAAAGTGCACAGCAAAATTATTGCCACGTGCAATAATATTAGCGATGTTTGTAAATCGGCGAACAAGCGTATAATGTATTTTTATATAATGTTTTCGGTACCGTTATAATTGGCAATTCACGTCCATTCTGCTTACAAAATATATGAGTCTCTCGGCAGTGATGTCGCACTGTCTTCTCATACTTTCAATCGAGTCGACATTTAAATTATTTGGAATCACATTCCTATTAAATCATCGCAATCAACTCTAAAAGATGCACAACAATACACTGAGATACCTAAATATATACAATATCCTAACGAATAGCGAACAAAATTTAAAGTATACAAAAATCACAAAGTGAACAAGAGGCACGATACTATTCTTTATGAGCTGCATAACATACGGAGGAGTTTTTTTTTTTTTTTTTTTTTTAAAGCTTTTCTTCTTTCTTTCATAAGAAACGACGCTGCAACTTAATATCAAGATGTAACGTATCAATAAAAAATATATATATTATGACTGGAGAAATCTTACATCTAAAGCAATTCTCTCATTGCAATAGGTATAAATTTTTGGTAAACAAAACAATATGCATAAATAACTTGTATACTACCTGCTTTTGTGCAACATCACTGTCAGGAGGTCAGGTATGTCGCACACACCTTGCTGTGAAATCATGCAGATCAGTCTATCATATTGAAAAACATCGACTTGTATTGTTCTATCGTTCGATGATAATTGTCACGGATTGGACTTACTAAGGAAGCTAACCAGCATTCGTTCATGTCTTGCACTCAAACGAGCAAATCTTTTAAGTATCGCGATCCTAAGTGTCGCGGAATTTGGTGTTAGTTAATTTTTGCTATTATTGCTACGTGGACTTGCTGGTTGACTGTTCGCTTGTTGCGCGCGTTGTATATAAATGTTTAAAAGCTTCAATTTGCTGGTATATAAACAACTGAGATGAGGTTTCAACAACTCTTCACCAACTGCCAAGTGTATTGCTACCATACAGAATACAGCACTTTTGCGTACTGCACTTTCAGTATCATCATATGCCTGTACAAAAATATAATATTGTATATTATGACAATAAAAAATCTATTTTTGGAATATATTTAAACTCACTTTGATAAGACCAGGCATAACTTTTGATAAATGAGGTTCTATTGCATCACGACCCCAATGTTCCACAACCTTATGAAGCATTTTTATTGCGCCCATATTCAAGGGATATGGTTCAGTAGTTATTATAGTTGATACTAAGTGAATAACTTGTTCTGGTTTTAAAACCATTGCTATCGTTGCAGCACACTTTTCCGCCATCCATAGAACCTAATAGAATGAAAATATTAATAATCGTTTATATACTATGAAATTAATTTATATACTTACTGGAGATCTGGAATTACTGCTACTGGAAGAATCTTGTTTTTGATCATCTAACTTATACGCGTTAATCACTTTTAAAACCAGTAATTCAGGATAAACAGAAAAACTATCTACAAGTTCCGTACATTTAAGCATATCAATTAGAGTTTGAAGTACTTCTACTTGCATCTTCTTACTATCGTTAGTCAAACTATCTAATAATGTTTTGAGCAGTTTTCTAGATAAAGACAAATAATTACAATTCTCATATTGTAATGATATAATTCAAACGCATGAATTATATATTATTAATAATACATACTTAAAATTTTGTTTAATGTACAAGGCATCTCCCTCACGAACGTATAATTGAAATTCTTGTAATGCTGATACTTTTTCTTCGGTTTGTGTCATTTTAGATTGTAATGTTTTAATCATATTATCTAAAACTTCTGGCCTTTTTATCGAATCAGGTGATGAACCTGATATAATTTAATACATGAAATTTAATACATGAAAAAAACATAAATAAGTCAATATTATTATATTGTATAACTTTAAACAATGCTATATTTACCATGCGTTTTGTAACCATTATTTTCTTGAGGTAGAATTAGATCTCCTGCAATAGTATCACTTGAACCATTTACTGTAATATTAGTAACAGATCGTCCTCTTTGGGTAGGAGAAGAAACGGAAGATGAACGACCCTAAAAATAAAGCTATTACATATTTCAATTACTATATTATTTTAAGAATATTAGTTATTTAATTACCGAATTGCATAATGTAAGTCCTTCCATTTTTTCTTCTACATCAGCCATATTGCTAATTCCACTATCTTTACTAGTAGTTGCTCTTTCTAAACGTTCAAAACCATAATTTTGTATTTCAGCTGTTGTACGTCTTAAGGATCTGTAGAAAATACTTAAAAATTAAAATGACTAAAAATTATAAATAATAAAATTATCAACTTAAGAATATCACTCTTACTTATAAACTTCTTCCAAATTTTCATCCGCATTGTCGATATCAGTTTTACCTTTCGAACGAGCTGGTGAGCTCTGTGCTCTAGGAGGCGGAGTTCCAGGAGATGCAGGATTACTCGAACCTGATGATTTTCTTAAATGATTCTGTACTAATGGCAATGCCGCTTCCTATAATATATATAAATATACATATAATATATATAAATATACATGTTCAATATAAATAGAATATTCATTTATTACAAAAACATTCTATATAGTAACTAACCTGATAATACTTCGGTAATTCAGCTAATATCATAGTCACTTTTGGAGGATTTAAATTATATAGCGATATAACAGCATTTTGTGCATGTCTTCTGACTTCTTGACTTTTAACATCATTCGACCAATCAAGTAACCTTGCTAATGCTGTTCCTGCAGAACTATTAAGTGCAGATGGTTGTGCTGTTTCTGCTATTTGTGTAATAAACATAAGCGTCGCCACTTTTACGCGAGAATTTGGAGTTTGTGTTGGATCTGTTAAATACCTCATTACAGCAGGTAAAAGTTGCTCTCCTGGGAAATATTCTCTGCAAATTCGGAGAGAAATACAAATAATTAAAATAAATATAAAAGTCTATATTAATTTCAAAATTAATAAAAATTACATCCATTCTTACCTAACAACTTCAAGCGTTTTATGAATTTTTGCTTGTATCGAACCAAGTAAGTCAGTGCCTAATTTGTTCAAAAGTCTTGCACATAAAACATAAAGCCAATCGCCAAGATCTTCACTATGAGTAGTTATTAGTTCATTCAATGTGTCCAAAAATAAACTGAATACTTTTGTGTGAGAATCCATGAACATTTTCGTAAAAATATCCGTTACTTTTCGCAATTCCGTAGCTGTAAGCGTATTTCCGTTTGAAAGAAAATGTTGTAATCCAACTAAACCTTCTTTTCTATCGCCCCAATGTTTATGTGCACAATTTTCTATAATTTCCTTAATATCCTGAAAATTAAAGGATTATATATTATATTTTCTATAAATATATATAATGTAAAAAATTTGTCCACAATAAAAATACTTCAAATGTATTTTCAATCGAGTTCTGCTATATTTCCTTTTTTGGCAAAAGAGTATAGTGTAAGGTATCGAATATGTATGAAATAAATGAAAGTGAATATTAAATTTAACAAACCTTTGGGATAGACTGATCCCACATATCACGATATAGTCTTTGTTGAGAGCCACTCCATGAGAACGACTAATGGGTAGATGGACGATGGACAGATATGGAGAACAGAACGGCGCATCGCATTAGTCCAAACCAAACAAATACGCCGCAAAAAAACCAAAAGAAAAAACCAGACATGCGTTATCTACAATATAAGATGCTGAAAGCTTGTTTTTTAAGCTTGTGATCTACTATTCTACTCTGTCAAATTCAAGAAATAGATATTTTGATATTTTTCGAATATGAATAAATGAAATTCAGCGGAAATTCAAATTGTCTAATTAATTGAAAATATAATTTATTTTACATGAAATAATAAATTATACACATGAGCACATAGCATGAACTTGTCTATAATTAAAAGCAAATATGTTTAAAGCATTTTCAAATTGCATAAAAAATAAAAATCTTCAAATAAAAATAATATTGCAAGCTCTTAATTTCATTGTAAATAAATTAGAAAAGCATTATTTAAATAAACAAAATAAGATAAGCATTATGATAAAATAAGTGTAATGACTGTAATGAATAGTTTGAGTGATACAGTAATGAATTATATATTTATAATAATGAATAAAGACGTGTATGTTTTAATTACATGAAATCAATGTATTTTGTGTTGGATATTGGATATTCTATTTTTGCATTATTTTATTGTGTATTTTTTTAATGTGATGGATCTGATAATGAGATGATGAAATAATAGCTATTCTATTAATAGTGTCCATATCATTCCTTATACTTACATCGTTTGGTCGTCTAAAACTGTCCATACTTCGTTCAGAACATATGCTGCTAGTTTCACTATCATCGCTGTGATCACCTTTTCCTCTTGGTGTTCTTGTATAATTATCAATATTTTCAAATGTAAGCGCATCCGCCAATGCTGATTCTGCTTCGCGTGATTGTTGCAACATCTTTTGTGCCATGACTGGTCTGGATTGAGGTCTATCCGTTGGAGACATATGTAAACTTCTTCCTCTATATTTTATATAATATTCCTTATTCGGTCAAGATTAAAATTAAACAAAATTAACAAGATAAATATTACCGTATTTTGCTTGCAAAACTTCTGTCCATTCCAAACCTTTGTGGGCTTGGCTCACGACTATTACCAGTACTTCTGATTCCATGTCCAGATAACCGTCTAGGTCTTGCAATTAACGATTCTCCTTCACGATTATAAGTTGCATAACTCAGTCTTGATGATGGAGATCCTGATCTACTGCTAGCTATTATATATAACATATAAATTTTATTAAATTACACGTTTCTTTAAAAAAATGAATTTTTTTTTTTTTTTTTTTTTTTTTTTTTTATGAACTTACGCTGAGATTGCGACACTCCAGACATTCGAGTTCTTGTTCTTGCCGTTCTTTCTGGACTAGCAACAGCAGTTGTGTCTGGTGATTTGCTAGGACGTGCTAAATGAAGAAATTATAATTCATTTGAAATATATAATAAAAAAACTACTAGAATAATTGAAGATTCTAGCAATAAATACTCACGAAGCGATGCTTTCTGTCTACTCATGTTCGCATACATCATTCTCGCTTTAGCTCTTTGTGCGGCTTGCAAATCTATCGCACTAGTCGACCTAACACTAGAAGTTCCACGATCTGAAGAAAAGATTAAAAAAATTAAAAACTGAAAAAAATTTACTATTCACATATATTAGAAGCAACAGTGCATGTTCTAAGTCATGGTGATATTTTAAAACATCAAACGAGAAGATAACAATTACAATGACTATCAGTGGGTCTTTGGAGGACTGGGATACCAGATTGACGATATGACCGTGGTAAGGACGGCGTTCGTCTGAGTGGGCCATGTGGTTGACCCGAAGTTTGATGCAAATTTTCCGTACTACCTTCATATGTTTAATATAAAGAGGAGTCACAAAAGCAGCATGAAAAAAAGCGAGAAGTATTTTATATACCGAATTGTTCTATCTTATATTTGTCTCTGCAATTACATCAATACCAATCCTATTTCAAATATATATCTATTTCATTTTCGATAATTGAATAAAAATATGGAGATATACCTGTAACACTCATGACTGGTCTGGATGTTCGGGGACTAACGCTCGCTGATCTCGTAACTACATTTAAACTGTTAATGCTACCGCTATTGCTGAGAGACATTAACGAACGCTTATATGCAGTGTCAAGGCTATTGAGCAATGCTTCTGCTTGTTCCGGGAAATGATCTTTGAATGCCCAGTACGATCTGAAAAGATTCGAAATACAATCTGATACCTTTTCAATAAAGGAAAAATAAACGAAACCAACAAGAATATTTACTTCCTAGCAAAAGCTCTTGCTTCCGAATCTGAATCTGCAATACCTTTCTTGATCGTGTCTTGCAATGTAGTCACGTGTTTTTGTAATATTTGAGTAGGCCATATTTGTAAAATTAGATTTAGATATTCGCATGAAGCTCGACGTATGTCTTTACTTTTGTGACTTAAGCACGATGTGATAATTGGCACAAAACGACTGCAATGTGTATTTTGAAGAATAAACCTTACTGCTACGGCACCAGCTGTTGCCACAACCTAAATGTGCAAAATCGTCAATGTAAAAGTTTTTCTATGTTATCACAATTGTTCTTCGTCAATATCGACGCTAAATAATTACGAGTCTCACCTTGGCACTATTTTGTATGAGATTCATTAAGGTGAATAAGACTGCTTCTCCAAAGCTGGCAAACTTATTTTTTAACTGTTGACTAAGATATGCTAAAGTAATGCAAGCTTCCCTTACTACTTGCGATCTAAGATCCATGCAAGCAACTTCAAAAGGTCTTTGAACATTCTTCAAATTTTCTAAAAAGTTTTCGAAATTCGTACCACCTGCGATAATGATTGCTCTTAATTTTTTCATCTGTAAAAAAAATTAAATTTTTAGCATATATAATTCAAATCGATTAGCATTGATATTATAATAATATTATCTTGATACATACACTTTCTGTCCTTTGTTTCCAATCTTTTTTATCATCACCAACATTATCTTTTATAGTTTTCATTTGCTCTTCAAGATCTTTTGCGGAAAATAAATTTACGGATGGCACATCTTCGAATGTTGTAAGGAAAGTTTCTTCATCGACAGCACCAGCTTGAGCTGAATATATTAATTTTTTTTTTCATATTAATGCATATATTATAATATTATTTTATAAGATATTGCCTATAACATTTTTATTTTTTTATTTAGAATATAGAATATTAAATATTTTAAAAAATTGTATAAATCTTATTGAAAAATTTTAATTATATCTTTAAATTTAGAACTTTTATATTTTAATAAAATATTTTTTAAAAAAATGTTTCGTATGACATTTTATAACATTGAATATACTTTATGATAATTTAGAACATTGTTAAATGAGAATGATATAAAAAGCAAGACAATTAAATAATAATTACGAATATATATATAGCGTTCTAGAATTTTATGCTCGCGTGAAATGAGACGCAAATAAAAGAAGATAAAGCAACATTGAATAAGGGATTCGTATCAAATATGCATAGTGTATTATGAATATTAGTTCGATTGAATTTGAAATTTTTTTTTTTTGTACTTATATCATGATGGAAATTCAAAAAGAAGAAAAATAATACAAAAGCTAAAATCGTTTCATAATATATATGAAAATTTACGAAAAGACCATCATGATATATTACAAAAATAATATGCCAATGAAATTTTAGATACCTGATGTCGATTTTACTGACACGTTTCTTTTGACGGTTGTAGCCCTTGGAACCATGGAAGGTGTATTACCAGGCTGAGCTGTCATGCAAGCGAATAATTAGCATTCTCGTCATCGAAACGTCAACAGTTTATCGACATTTTGTATTTTTGTAATATTGTTGGAAAGAATATTATTAATATCATACGAAATGCTGAGCCATAGTAAAAGAAAGCAAGAATTGTTAGCACGCTTCACACTTGTGCATTGGTTGCAGTGGAGGAACATGTGCTTTCCTAATGTATTAATTTTAGGAATTATAACATTCACGTGAAATAATCCGAATATTTGTTTCGTACATAAATAAAGCACTTATAACACACAAAGCGCTTTAATTTACATATAACATAATAAATGATGTAACTAAAATTTATAAATCAAATAATTAAGTATATCATTAAAGAATTAAAATTTTGAAAGCTAATTTACACGGAGCATTATTGTCTTTTCTTTGACTTCTTTATAATGTATAAATATACTTATGAAATAATTCAAGTTATTACACATACTAATTAATACGATAAATTTTGCTAACATGTCTATGTGTATATATGATAAAGGTACAAATTAAAAATTAATTTAGAACCTATTTCAAATGAGTGTAAATTACATCATGCTTAAAATATAACAATAAAAAATGATTTATATATTTGGATATTGATATTGATATTGATTTTTACATAATTACAAATACCATTAGATTTAACTCATATGTACCTAGAGTTGAAGATGAAGTTTTTGCTGGACCAAATTGTCCTCTTTTTAGAGGAGCAGCTGATCTTTTCACAGGAGCTGATTTAATCTAAAATATTTAAATTTATTTCGCATTATCTTGCGCATTTTTAAATATTTAAATATACTTTAAATTTTTAATTAATACTTACAGCTCTATCTGTTTCATCAGAGATTTTCCCAACTGAAAAAAATATGTTAAAAGTTTATAAATTTAGTAATAATTTTTATTTTCTAGCGAAAAAGTTTTTTTATTAAGTTGCATAATAAATTTATCAGTTAAAAATAAAATTTTTTTTTAATTAGTTTATTTTATCCTATAAAATTTTGTACCTAAATCTGGATATAGCCATGGTGGTTTATGAATATCACAATGGCATCCTCTTGCTCTAGCACCTGGATGTTTTACAATATTATCCCATTGGAGAATCCATTTACTACTTGGATCCCACAATTTTTTATCAATACTGGGATATTTTTTTAATCCTCTATGTAAGCAACGATGGTTGCTTGACAACCACGTTTCAGTATCATTCATTTTAATCACACTTAACTTTTTTCAATCACAATTGTATGACAAAATTATGAAACGATCTCTTACGACAAAGTACAAAATGTAGTTTATATTTTAATATAATTTGAAAGAAAATAATTATAATACAAAACGTCTTCATTTTGGTACAATAAGTTTATAAATTTTCTTATATTTTTTTTTATAATGATATGATAATAATCAAAATTATACATATGAGAAACAAAGTTTGATAAAGTTGTTAACAAAAATATTTCTGCAAGAAAAAACAAGTTTTTCACTTATAAAACGATCGAAAAAAAAACGATTGAGAAATTAAAATTCCTTGAATTTACGCTTCTTTTCTAGAATGTGTAAGATAAAAATAATCATTATGTATAGTACACGTCAGTGAAAGTGATTTGAATTATCCTCTAACGAGGCAAAGAATTCTAATAACTAATTAATGATTTTTTTTAATTGCAATTTCATAATCAGGAAATTTTATCGATAGAATTTTTCGAGAATACAGAAATTTAAGTCATTAAAATTTACGATTGTTAATAAAAAATATATATATATAATTCCATCTTGAAATTTTATTGTCTACTTTCATTTTTCACTTTTTATGCGAAATTCCTCGTTTAACATAATCGCAACTATCGTCTTTTTCTTTCACTTCCTCAACCGACGGGAATCAATAAATAAAACAATCGAATATCGAAAGAATATTTTTTTCTAAAATAGATATCAACTATGTCCAATCTATACACTGTTATATGTAACAACGATAACGAATATAAATTTTTTCATTCGTATAATTATAAAGATAAATAAGATAAATAAAGATTCATTTTTATCATTCTCATGATCGAATTATGAGATATCGAATAGCAGTTGAACGCGTTAAAATGAGAAGTTGGCTTTGCATTCACGATATCACTGCTAATAAGCACAGCAATGAGAGACGAGAGAGTTATTTTCTCACGTTACAGATAACATGCTTGGCATCCTTATTACGTTGACTTAATCCAGATTTTACTCAACGACGTTTCGCATTTCCATTTTGTGTAAGAATTTTTCTACAATTTACAATGAAACAATCGACGACGGAGTTGAAAGAGAAAAATAAATTGCACTTCCAAGGATCATTGCGTCATGAGCACAATCCACAGACACTTACGCGTAATCCATTAGCACACACGTGTATATGCATGAGTATTTATTTATGTTTTATTATATCAATAACGAACGATCACGTAAAGATCTTCGATTTATATCTTGGAAAAATTAATTTTAATAAAACGGACAAACACAATTTTCTTTGGGACAAAAAACAGAAGAGTAACTAGAAAAATTATCTAATAATTCAACCGAAGTTATTTGTTCATTGTACTTGTGAAAGTTCATTAATAATTCAATCAATTTAATGATTTTTTTACTGATTTTAAGAAAACATTATATGTATAAATATATATTTCTTCGAGAAGGATTTCCATTTGAAACACATCGACTCCCGTGTAATATTATAACATTATCTATTCGCTTCGAAGACGTCAATGATGGTAAAAATTTATTCGTATTCCACGTGTTTCAATCTTGAAATGCGACAGACACGATGATTATTTTTCAGGATACAATTGTCGATAGTTTCGTCGTATTTTTTTAAATAACACGCATCCGTTAATCCATTGTATCAAGAAGTTAACAAAGGAATTGCCTTGTCTTTCACTAGACAACTGACACACGATGTACATATGCACGGAAACGTTGCACTACTTGGTTATAATCGTTATCGCACAATACCGAACTAAATAACTTTTTAAAAATATTCTACGATAAATATTCGCTTAAAATATCGCGGTGTCTTTCAAAACATCGAGGACAACCAACACGGCAGACGTTTCTGCAACAAATCCATCCTTCTAGCCTTTCTAATGGAGGAATATTGTAATAACGTATTTCAGCAGCTGCGTTTGATCAGGTAAACAAACGAGTGGAGAGAAATTGAAACGATCGTCCTTGCCCATTGTCCGTGAACGGTAACAACACGTATCGCTTAGAACGCGTCACACCGGCCAGATCGTGTTCGGCTCGTGACACAGAAAAAAACACGATCAAGATCACTAAGCAGACCGTCACGATTCTGGATACGTTTTCTCGATGAGTCCACGATGTCTTCACTTCGTCATACACGCGTCTCTCACGTTGCTAAATGGCGACTCGTTTACAAACTCCCGTAAGCGCTGCGAGACCGTCGCGAGACCCGAGCTAAAGTCGGACAGGAGGAAGGGGACCTTCCCCTATCGAGTGTCCCTCGATGGGGGCCAAACGAGGGACCCATAACATTCGAGAACCCATCTCTCTGTTACGTCTCGACTATTAGAGAACTTGGACTAATTTCTTTCTTTATAAGATTCTTCTTCTGAACGAGAAACGGCAAAAGATAGGTGAAAAATCCGATTGACAACCCTACATTTGAAAGGAAAAGATATATATTTAATTATTATTACTATTACATATATTACTATGAATTTATACAAAGAATACGATAATTTTTATCTCTTCCTCGTTGTACTTTCACTTTTCACTGTCCAGCAGGTTCTATTCTAGCTTTTTAAATTAAGACGCGTTATCGATTGATTTATCACAACAAGATAATAATAATTAAATGTACACCATATTCGTCGAAAAAAAAAAATAAATAAAAAGGCCGAATGAAACAAATAAATTGACCTGATTGTAAAAGTATCATACAAATTGTCCCCGAGTCCAGGTGTAAAACAAGTGATTAATGCGATTCCATTCAATTTGCTGTCGTTTAAACATCTTCCAATGTGCATGGAGAAAAATCGATAATACGAAAAGGGAGAGTAACGAAGATTAATATTGATTCGAGTAAGAAACAGGTCGTGCAATGAATAAGGTAAAATTATTGCGGTTGCGTTCGAATTAGATTCCCTCTAACGGAGGGAAACATTACATCCTTCGTCCAAAATTTTCCAATTTTTTTTTTTTTTAATTTATAGAATTGATACAAGAAAAGATTTTATAATTAACACGAATGCCGATGCATCGCGAGGTATAATTAAATCCACCACGGTATAGGAAGGGAAATAAGTGGATCACGGTGCAATTACAATGTTTATCTGTAATAAACAGCGCGTACCGTCATCGAGAATTCCCTACCATGAAGCACGAGGCAAGAAGTTGAATACAAACAGGACCGTGAAAACGACACACAGATAAAGCTTCGATGAAGAAATAATTTGAGCCAGTAGCTATCTCAGGATAATTACACGTTCCGAATAAGAATTTAAAGATGCAATTAAACGTTCGCTTAATCTTTATTCCGAGAGAATTAAAAAGAGACAAGTATTAAATTAATTATCCGGTCCATGCATTTTTATATTGATTCGCATTGTTCCTTCTTTTTTTTTTTTTTCAAATGCGTTACCGAATATGCTTCGAAAAAATGCAAGTCCGATCATTTTGATCGAAGCGGTTCCTTTAGAAATGAGTAATAATTTCACGAAAAAAAAAAAAGGGAGGTAGAGAAAAGTTTTTCCTTGAGAGAACGAATTCGTGATCACGTTTTTACATTTTACATGATAAGAATATTAATAATTACGATCATAGATATAATTAACCTCGCAAGGTGTGGGACTGATTAATTCCTCTATTTCAACGAACTTTGACGCACTACCACCTTCTCTTCATTTTCCTAGAAATTCAATAGGAATCAAGTGCGGAATAAATTACCGATAGAAAACGAGATATAGCGATGGTAATTTCATCGGAAATCGTATTTACAGTGTCTGTCATTCATTGGTGAAAGTAACGTTATTTATTGTTTTTATCCATCGATGAGATACGTTCGTGCTTCCGATTTCCCATCAAAGAAAGCTATAACGAGAAACAACGAGAAAAGATAGGAGAACACGATGCGCGTCTTTCCGCGTGCGATTCTCCATTGTTCATCGCGCGTAACAGCCATCGTTAGCCACGATACTAGTGCCACTAGTAGAAGAAAAAGGAAAACACGAGTGCCAATTCCACACGGAACGATTATTAAATATATTGCTAAGAACAAGAAGAAGAAAATCGCCCACGTGAATAAGCACGTTTTGAACACGATAATGCTATCCTTCTTATTACATAATAGTATGAACACACTGTGTACACATTATCGGGAGAAAACATGCCTTTATCATTATTCCAAGCAAACGGTGTTGCGGGTCAAACAAACGATTATCCTATTAAGGTAATTAATCGACTTCTTTTTTTTTTTTTTTTCCTCTTTTAAAAACCAAGAAGAGGGGAGAGAAAAGCACGTTGTGCTCGTTTCGAAGAAAGGGGAGAGGAGATCGTTCACAATTCAAAAACAACGGTTGCTACAACGAACGATGAATTTGTTCGTCCCAACTCGGATAGTTGAAAACTTTCTTCCATACCATCGTTGATCTTTTTTATCGATCAGTCGCACTTATCTTACTTTCCTTGCGGTAGAATCGCATAGTTTTGTCGATAAGTTGGCGAGTGCGAACGAGTTGTTGCGGCTTGTGTGCCGCGCAGCGAGAATGTCAGCGAGAGTCAACAAGAGAGGATATAAAAAGGGCATCGGTGCGCTATTCAGCGCTTAATATCTGATCATGCACAGAACGGTGAACCACGGTAAAACCGTACACCGGTGAAGATAAATCTGTGTTACCACCCTACCTTTCACTTCTCCTGTGTGCACGTGTGCACGCGTCTCAACCGTTGTCCTCAGGGTAAGGTCGCATAATAAGAAGGCGAGTTCAAGCTGAACGGTGTGGGTGCTAATTTCGATCGAGCGGTGAAGGGTAGGGTGAATAATCTCCGTCCCGGTGAAACTGTTGGTGCTGGAGAAATATACGTCAGAGATTTCCTATCGTTGCCAAAGGAAAAAAAACCAAGTATTCCTCCTAATCTTGGATATAGTTTATAATCGATCAAACGAGCCGAAATTAAAAGGGAACGGACGAAATTAAAAATTGACGTGTAAAGAAAAAGCTGTTTCGCCGTAACGTATAGGTTATACGTATGTGCTACGTGGAACGTTGGAGAAATCACGGTATACGGAATACGTGAACTTCTAGCACAGTCCTGTGATCGTGGGTCATAGGGAAAGAGAGAGCGAGAATACAAGACTTATGCAAATTTTTCCTGGTGCCGTGCTCGTTCAACCTTTTCGTGTCACACGTCGCGCGTACAAGGATACTCGTGGCGCTAAGCTGCATACGGGTACGCAGTGCAAATTCCACACCGAGAAAAATGATCGCATTATCATATGACAAGAAGAGCTCGACGGAAGGCGAAAAAAAAAAATAGTTGGCCTAAATGCATTCGTTTTCTTCTTCGTATATATAAAAAGGAAAGAACAAGAAACGAGAAGAAAGAGGATAGAAAATTTCGTAAAAAAAAAAATCAGTATCAATAATAACGAAGAATTTTTAAATGATAATAAAAAAATTCATCCTGCGTATCATGGATGAAAAAAGGAAGAGACAGGAAGATCGATAGTTAGTTCTTCATGGTAATTTGGCGTTCTATTAATATATCTGAAATCAAGCGAAGAACCGTAATTTCCTTGCCAAGCCCATGTATGACCTAATCGTGATCGAACATCGAAGAATAAGAAATGTATTCCTTATTTAAATGTAGACATCTTGTCTCGGTCGTAAATTCGAAACGCGTAACAAAAATAATTCTGTTCATCACCACTTTTTTTTACGAATGTTTTGCATACAAGTCGCTACAGTCCAGCTGTATAATAGTTGTACAGTAAAAATATTTAGTCGAGACAGTATTACTTAAGCCGAGATGTATACTCTTTTCATTTATCGTTATATAAGAGAGATATAGTCATATTTTTTTTAACAAGAAACAAAGATTAATTATACAATGGAATACATATGTGCATCATGACTCATCAAGAATCTCGGCTTATCCGTACTTTTTACTGTCTATCGGTGTCGTTGAGTTGCATTTTCCTTTTTTTAATCAGTATTGCAAGTAATATGTTAAGTATTCGGTTGCTGGCGAGATGTAATATTTGCAATCGAAATTCGAATACCCTGGCAATAATCTTACAATGTTACAAGGCCGTTTGTTTAAAGCAGAACAGCTTTAATACGGTATGAATTACAGACAACGTTTGAAACAATACACCGCCGATATTGCATAGTACACCATAGCTGTATATATAATATTATGTAATATCTGAGAATAGATAACACGAATTAGTAATGTCATTGTGTTCAAGGAAATGACATTTAATGCGATACAGATACAACTACCTTTGATTTGACACGTTTTTTTCCTTAAAAAAAAAAAAAAGACGATCTTTCAGTATCTTTTCATGGAATTATTTGATGAGATATTATACAATCTCCAAAGAAGTTATAATTCGAATAAAAATCAACATCCGCATCGCACAGAAATATAATTCCTTAATCGTCTCGAACTTTATAGCTTTATATTTTCTTTTCCTTTTTTCAATAATATTACATTCACATTTTGCAGAAAAATCAATCTCGAAAAACGCGTATTGTCGAGTAAAGTATTACTCAAAAAAAAAAAAAAAAAAAAAAAANAAAAAAAAAAAAAAAGAAATGCGTACAGTGGTTACAATCAAACCAGAAGTTCGAGCGGAAAACGTGCCAGTGCGACGTAATTAAATTCAAATTGGCTATGTTTTACCGTGCTGAATTAAGTGAATATTCTTATCACGTTGAAGAACAAGCGGTCCTTGCTAAATATTCATCGTGTGTACCAATAACGTGGACAATGAAGGAGAGAGGGAGAGTGAGAAAGCAAGAGGCGAGGAAGGAAAGAACGAAGGTTGGTCTTCTCGGTCTATTCGAAGGTATTCGCAACGCGATAGCGTTCATGGCTGTGGGATGGCAGCACGATACAGCTTGAATAATATAACGGAGATGACGCGCGTGGCAATCGGTTTTTATACCTTCTCCGACTTAATTTACCGGATACCTGCTGAGAAGGAAATTCGATGGATTTACTCACCATCCGAAGACATTGCTAGAGGCAGCAGGTCGCCGGCCGCTTTCAATTGATCGAATTTCTCTATCAACAACAGTAATCTGCAACACAAAATCAAACGTATTAGTTAACACGAAACGTATACGTATGACTTCAACATACTCGATTAGAATTACTAATGTAATTATATTCTTCCAAGTATAAAGCAGTTTAACATATAAAATCGTTTCGGTTAAATCGGTAGAGAGAGTAAAAAAAAGTAATGTTTAATTTGTACGTATGCAAGCGGAAAGCCAAGATTTCGATTTCCCTTTTTTCACTTACTTAGCTTGCGGTACATTGTGCTTTCTCTGCAAATCCACGCGTAATCTCTCGCCAACGTGTCTGTAGATATCCGCTAATGTGTTCAAAGCAGTTTCTCGCACTTTTTCAGATGGATCTGATAATAATTTTACGATACTCGGAATCACTCCTGACAACATCATTTCATCAGCGCCGTGTCTGTAAAAAAAATTCATTAGTATAACCGGATGTTTTAACGATGTTTTTAGCTACTTTTTTTTCCTTTTTTATTTTTATTTTTATTTTTTTTTTTTTTTTGTAATTTTAGTAATTTTCCACGGGTCCTTACTCGTTCAACGTTGTTGTTAACAAAATTAGAGCTTCTTCCCGTAATTTTGCATTCTTATGATTAAAGGCCGGCCGCAGTCTATCCAAAAGTTGTTGAGGAGTCATACATCCTTTTTCTATTATTTTAAGAAGCACTAGCTGCGCTTTTTCTCGTGTCGCATCTTTGCTGTCACCTATTAAAGCAACACGTCATCGATATCTGTATATTAATTGTACCACTCGTTATTATAAATAAAGGAAACAAAACTTGTAGGGACCGGTTCTATATTTATAACTCTGTCATAATATCTCGTCTCGTAATATGCGGTTGAACTTCCGTGCCTATTTCATCTGGAGCTCATCTACTCACGATAAATGATTCAAAAAAATATGAAACGAAATCATAAGAAAACGTTGTCATGATAAAACAAATTAAATTTACCACTATAATTATACATTTATTGGCTATCGATTTCATTTAATTCCACGAAATAATTACTCGTTGAATAAATTTCAAAGAGCGAATAAATTAAAATTTATTAGAAATAATTTATGAATACCGAAAGACAAACAGGTACAAGAAAGTTGGCGACACTTACCCAGTCGATCTATTGTTGGTTGAATAATAGTGGAAATATAAGGTTTGAAGTCGTGACCCATTCGATCCGCTAGAAACGTGAGGATTTCTAAACCATTCTGGACGACCTGGAACAACAGAATCAAGAATCGGTTAGATCTATATATCGGTATATATCGACGATTATAGAGGAACGATTGTCCCCTTTCGTTTATACAGAAATCGTTCTAAATCTTCTACGGCTTTCTAACCGTACCTACCAAGGCAATCGGGGTTTGCTGGGTAATTTACTGAACATAGAAGACGTTTATACGCGCTGCTGTGACGAGAGATTAATTAAAGGCTCGGCGAAAAAAATGTGTACACGGAAAACCAGTTTGTCGAATAACGTCACGAATATCGAACACGAGCTCAACATATCATATATTGATATATATGATTGCAAATCAAAAAAATTTATAAGAAGATTTAGCGTTTTTCGTATTATTAAAAAAAAAAAAAAAAAAAAAACATATTTTGAAATCAAGATCTCCCATATTTAAAAGGTTTAAAATTCCTTGCATCAATATCGTCAGAAGGGTCCAGGGTATATTGATCCAGGCAAGATAAACTCTGCTTCCCTGAAAGCTAAAAAATCGTAGACCCCTCGCTTTCCCTCTTGTCGTAATTATACTTCGTCTGCGAATCCTCTACATGCACTCGTAATGATTACTTCACGGTATTTTCTTTCCTTCTTTTTTCTCCTTCCCCCCCTCCTTTTTTTTCTTTACCTCTGCGCTTTCATCATAAAAAACATAATTGCGGAGGTTTGAACGAATTACACACATTCCGGTTTTGTGGTTACGCGCAAAATCAATAAGAATTTTTCGTGCGTACAGTTCGGTGATGAAATTTAATAATTTAATTGTGAAACATACACGTCATCGATTCTTAATGAAAAGATTTATAATTCTTTTTTGAGAAATCTATCAGTTATCTTTTTCATCTAGGAAGTGAGAGTAACATCACGTACCGTTTCGAATACTAAGTTCAAAATATACATTCAATCTCATAAAAATATCTCCTATCTAATTAAGAAACGAAAAATATATAATATATTCGATAATATAATATAATATAATATAATATAATATAATATATAATATGATCGAACGGCAAAAAGAAATGAAACGTTGTAAAAATACTACTAATCCGAGGGAGATATCGAAGATTGAAAGATGAAGCTGGGATTTGAGGGTGAACGAACTGCTCCTCCGGGAGGAGGACGAGCAGATCAATATAGAAAGTGCAAGTGTAGCTAGCGTTCGGTGCATTTATCGCGGTAGAACCCCTCAAAGTAAACCCCGGTTGTGGTTGCTTTGCGACGAGAGGGAAGAAAAATGAATATTCCTCCGTGGGCAGCATGGCCGTTCGATCCCAATCGGCATTGGCAATACTCCTCGGCCGAACTCGTGCCTCAAGTGCACACGGCAAATCCAATGTCACTGTCTGCAAAAGCGTCCATTACTCGGCGACAGTTTAAATACATTTAACGAAGCGCTATACATAGGCATATAAACCTATTTTAGTGTCGCGGGGTAAACGTTCTCTCAGGGCTGTCGTCTGGCTGTGACATCATTGCTCAGCACCGAGACTTTTCGTTTCTCTTTCTGTCTTAACTTTCATATAATTAGCACACGGTTTAATCGTTAACAGCCTAGCGAAACGCACCCGCTCGAACGTGTTTAATCTCTCACGATAGAGATATCTTAAAGCTATACCAAATACGTGTGTGTGTGTGTGTGTGTGTGTGTGTGTGTGTGTGTGTGTGTGTGTGTGTGTGTGTGTGTGTGTGTGTGTGTGTGTGTGTGTGTGTGTGTGTGTGTGTACACATATATATACACATTCGAAAGAGATAATTGATTATGCTATTTTTAAAATTGCATAAAACAAAAAATTGATTAAACGTATCGCGGAATGCGACATGTATTACTTGACATAGATAAGACTCGAAAGAACTTGAACTTTATCTTAATCTTCTACTCCAAACAAAGATTCCTCGACTCGACTACTTTAAACGAAAAGGTTAACAAAATTTGCTTTCGATGCGCATCAGCGAAAATTTGATCATCCACATATCTAACACTCACAACTTTTATTTTTAAAATTTATAATCTAGGAGAAGAAAGAGAGAGGGAGGGAGGGAGGGAGGGAGGGAGGAGAAAAAGATTTGACAACGCGACCTTTTCTTAACTCGCCCATCAAGTAGATCATCGGGAAGTAACAATAGAATGAACGTGCGCATGGTTCGAAAAGCGTTCAAAGTCGGCGCGTAAACGTGGAACGTGGGCGATTTGTCTGGCCTTATTCGTCAAAGTTGGGAGCAGGGCCCGTTAAAACTGTTAAGTCCACGTGGGAGGTGGCTACTCCTCCTACTTGCAGAAGAGTCGTTCGCAGTGAAATGCATTTGTACTTTTGTTGCGGAACATCAACACGAGACAAATAGATGGATAAAACCTATTCAAGTGTATAATCGCTCTTACGCGGGAAAGGCGAACGAATTGGAACAAACAGATAATATTCTCATAACATTCTTCCGAGTTAGAAGATGATTTCACGGTTTTGTTATCGCACTGTTTGTTACGAGTTGTACTTATTCTTAGTTTGGCTGACTCGATACGTTGTAAATGGAATGCAATTATTAATCGCACAACATGGACCTTGTGTCACGTATCTGCCTAAAGTAGCGCGAGAGCTGACGTAATAAGTAGAATGAGCAATTACGGCCAAACCGTGTTGTTCGGACAAATTTTTCTTCGGTTGATTATGGTATATAAGAGGACGTTGATTTAGTAACCAACGATCATAACCAAAACGAAATAAACCGCACTGCGTCAATTATGTAACGAGAATTAAGTATTGATTTAATAAACACCGATCATAATCAGATAATAGATTTAACGATATACGAGTAGGATATAGATGAAAATATACTCGATTTCGATGATATCTTTTTTTTTCTCTCTTAAAGATTCATCTTTAATCTATTTTTCTTGAAAATTATGCTTGATCTATGATCGATTCTATTATATATATATATATATATATATATTATTTTTGAGACGAGATACTGATGTATCCAATTAAATTAAAAGTGTAATTGCTGCTAGCCAGCTATTAATAATTTATGAAATAACAGACGGCACGAAGGGTAACCCGGTTGCTGTGAATTCCAGCTCGCATTATCAAGATACCTATCGTTTTTACGCGAATAAAATCGAGCGCGATCGTGCAAAGGTATAGTTATGCAAGTTGCACAAAATAACACAAACTAATGCGACACAAAAAAAGCATCGAGACCACAAGGCGAGGGTGATGTCATGCTTTAAATTCAAAAAAGGAAACGTTTACGACGAAGAAAAGAAACGGGAAAACGATAGGGAAAAAGCGAGAGAGAGAGAGAGAGAGAGAGAGAGAGAGAGAGAGAGAGAGAGAGAGAGAGAGATTACGGACCGCAATTTACGTTGTTCTGTGTCCTTGACATCAATACTGGTGCACCGATGGTTTGCAAAAATGGTTCAGTTAAGATTTTCTATAATGAGGCATATTGTTATTCAATAGTAATAAGATATGAGACAAGTTACGAAGAGAAATCTTATCGAAACAAATATGAATTATACAATAATTCCGAACTTTGTTCCTTTAATCTGAAAATACATTAAACGATAGTTAAAATCTTTGAATATTACATTAATGTTTAATTCAGATATTGACCTAATTTAAATGCAGTGTTAATTCTCTGTGAATTTAAATATTGCTAGATTTTAAGTAATATGATATAAACTTTAAATTTTATCATATTCAAAATATAATTAAAATTTAAATTAATTAAAATCTTAACTATCATTGAAATAATTGAAAAATAAATCTTTTAGATTAATTTTACTGCGAGAAGGTCAAATATATCCGCAACATAAAAAACTTCGGTCCAGATCGATAGAGATGATATATCCTGTCGAAATAGGAAGGCTCATCACGTAGTAGGCTTCCTGCCAAAATTACGACAATGGTGGGTTCGGTGAAAATTAAAAACGAACGGTAGTCTGCCTTAATCACAACGTTTTCATTAAGAAGACAGACAGTCCGAAGTCGTAATTCTTCGATCAATGTATTTCTTATTCTCTGAGACGTGACTAGAAATCTTCTGACAAATATTAAAGTATGCCTTTGTAATTTTTTCACGATTAATCTTATCGACTAAATAATAGGCTTCATAATGTTCTGAATCGATATATTACATTTTATTCGAAGATTAAATACTAGTATTATTTTCAATATCCTAAAAAAAAAAAAAGTTAAATCTTAAGAACGATTGTTATCTATTTACTTGATATTTACTTTCTATTTTCACAGATATTTTGCACATTCTGTTAATATTTTCAAGCTAATAACGAGACTTTAACAAGTGATAAATACTAGATAATGATGTAAAATAATTTATATTTATGATCTTATTTTTAAAATGCAATTCCTTTTAGTTACCAATATTGAACTCCAGTCGAAAGAAACAAAAAATTCTTTCATGTGAAGTTTCCGAACTTTCCACCTGGTATTTCTACAAAAAATTATAAAAACTTGAGATTTTCCTTCGCTTATTGATTACCTGCGAGAAAAACTTAAGAACTGAGTAACAACGCGTGCAATAATAAAAAGCAATTCTAAATATAGGAATGAATGGATAACTATACATATAAATATGTTGGTTTACTATGCTTATTCGTACATTATACACAGAGAAATATATACCGTACGTGATATACAAGAGATCCTTGGCTCATATATTATGAACGAGATTGAATCGCAAACAACTTGATTAATTAAATATTGCTTTAAATTTAAAGGACTTTTGTTTATTTTCTCGTAGACAGAAGACCAGGATAATATAAAGTTATCATGTATGATGAAATTTATTAATTTTTCAATTATTTGATGACATCATTCTACGACGAATTTCTATCAACCAAGACGAATCAAATTTTTGATCAATGTCTACAAGATGTGTCTCTTTATTTTAAGAAATATCATTCTAAACGTGCATGTGATTTTTCCATGAGATAATTTGTAGAAACTCGCCCGGAAATAATAAGAAAGAATTAAAAAATTTTACTTTTTCAGCGACTTTTCCTCAAATGCTTATTAATAAGAAAAAAATATTCGTATAACATATGAAAAAAAAATTCCTTTGCTTAATTATTTCATTCATAACTTCTCTTGTTCATATTGTTCTTATTCATTGATCGTATTCTTCAAATATAAATAGAAACATTTTAATAAATTATAATACACTTAATGTTTCTTTATCGCATCTCAACAAGAGAATAATAAAGACGATTAGACACTCAACTCGTGGACAAGAATATTCTAGTCTGATTGTCTTTATTAGGAAAGGATTATACTCACGTACAAATGGTTTCGTCGAAGCTGTCTACGAATCTAGATTTCGATGATTTCAACTTCCTTACGTCGATTTTTTATGTTTTTCCTGTCGGAAATTTTTGCATCGAAAGTTTTTGCATCTATTATCAGAGAACGTTTAACTAAAACCAATGACTTCAACTAAACGCCAATCGTTCAATCACATACTCCATGACATACTGTACCAAAGGACATTTTACGTACATGGTGTGAAAGTTTTTCCCATATACGTTCCTGAAGCAGAACCAGCCCAAGTTTTCTGGTATCTTGAAGAAGAGTGAACTCATTGTGAATAATCGTTTTCGTTTAAAGCACATGATGTAAACAAATGATTATTTTAATTGAAAATAATTAATTACAATATCATCATAGGAAGAATATTATTCAAATTAGAGACATATTATTGATTTTTAGTAGATTTAAAAGAAATAATTTCTAATACAAATGAAATATATATTAGGTTTAAAATGATATATACATTTATAGAATCATATCCATGAATAAAAATAATTTAAAACTTTGTTTGAATTATCAACTATCGTAGAATGTTGAATATGAATATGAAATAAGAGTTTGAGATTACACAGCTGACTCGATCTCTAAATGAAGAAAAAAAGCTACCAATTTCAGTGAAATATACTTTTCGAAGATGAAAATTAACTTTATTGTTAAAAATTGGTAACGATAACACATAAATCAGATTTTAATTACTCGATTGAGTAATTAAAAAAATATCGAATCTTTTGACTCTTGTCTAAAGATTTCGTGCATCATCTGTTTTCTTCTATGTCTGTGAAGAAAATATATAAAAATTTAATTTTTTTTTTTTCCTCGACTGGCCGAATAAATTCGAATTTGATTTACAAATCAATCACGTTGCTGTCGCAGGTAGCATCGTCCATTCCCAAGTATCGAGCGTAGAAAGTTTCGAGTATACGCAGAAGATATAGGTCGACCAAAATAAAATGTACACAAATATGTCTTTATCCTGGGAGAAAATCAAAAATGTGATAGATTATGACTTCTATTATTTCGAATATTTTTAATGTATAATATGATTATGTAAATTCAATGAACTGATTTTGAGAGTATTTAGCAATTAAATTTTTTACCTTCTCGTGCATAATGAAATTCAATAAATGAGCACCTCTGCTTGTACGCATACAATCTAGTCATTTTGTTACCCGGCACACCCCACAATGATTTTAATTTCTTTGAAATCATTTTTTTATATAAAACTTTTATTTATTTTTGATTGTTAATCATAATAATGAAAATTAGAATATAAATATCTTCATATTGATATGAATGAATGACTAGGGACAAATCGTAAAAAGTTAGCACATCTTTAGCATGGTCTTGTTTACATAACAAACGATGGGTACATTCATAATCAGCATTAAAAAGAATAATAAAGGAATTTTAAAATATAAAAAAGTGCTACTTGACAACAAAATCTGGTAATGGCTTGGAGAATTCACTTTATATTTGAAATTCAGAAACGATAAAGGAGCACGATGTTTTTGTATATAAATTAGTTAAATGTAAAAGTTCAAAATTATAAAAATTATCTAAAGATTTTCATAATGTTAATTCCCAAGAGAAAATGATTGAAGAGAGATGTTACCTTAGGATTGCCGTTGCTTAACCATGGTATGATGTTATCGATAAACTGTCCGATGTCTTGACATTCGATACTCTTTGTTGCATCTCCTAAATAATTCAACAGCAAACTACCAACATTTAACTTTTTCTTGATGTCCGTCGTTGACAGGAGCGGCATAAAACCATCCATATCACGCGGATTCACCGCCATGGTGGCTAACACGCACGTCGTCTCCACACCTTCACGAGTCTTTGAACGAAACTAGTTTTCACTCGTGCACGTCAAAGCACATAGCTTGTCGTAGTTTCACAATGCACGAAAATTAAACACACGTCTTTCGTCATGTCAATGATGTTTTTCACCAAGAACACGGTTAACAGCGATATGAAACTATCCGTGCAGTTTAAAAGCCATACGCAAAACAGTACTTTTTCTTTGATTGTCTCACAACGGTTGTCGCACGAGTTATTCCAAAATTATGATGCTACAAGAATGATGTTATTTCACAATTTCTCATATAAAATTTCATCAAATGTCACTCATTTAAACAGCATATATTGCTCGCATTTTACTTGTATCATGCACAAAAAATAATAACGAACATTCTAATGTAACGAAAATTATCGGCACCGTGCACGCGACGCCATTTTGATTTCTTAATCATCTATCTCTCTTTCTCTTGAACGATTACAACGCCAATTAGTTCAAACGGACGTCGTTGTAACTATCGATTGTTCATTTCAAATATTTTACGAATATTTTTGCATTTTTAGCATTTTAGACATTATAAATATATTAATTGCTAATATTAATTGATTAACTTATAAAATTGATGTATAGAATATATAATTTTATGTATGCTTTGTGTTTTTTCATTTCATATTTTTTTTCATTCAAACTTTTAAATTTTATACGAATAATGTCCGCTTGAATTTAATTATTACAAATTTTTAATTTAAATTTAAAATTTCAAATATTATTTATTCAAATATTTTATTATAATATTCGAACAATTAAAAAATTAAGTTTCTTTTATTAATATTAGTTCAATTTAGTTTTATTGATAGAATTCAATTTATTAAAAAAAGAAAAATGTTAAAAATGAAGTAGAAGATACGAAGAACATAAACATAGGTAATATATTTGTCATTAATTATGTATTTCTGCAACCGTATTTTAATGAAGATGATAATATATATACATAGTTACAATTACATATACAATGTTATATATTTACAATTACTATTAATAGTTACACGCTTGCATTATATGCAACATTATTATCGTTAAATTTTAGGCAAAAAAATATCTAATAAAATATTTAGGAGCATGATCATTTTTAACTTGCAAGATAACAATATAAGTTTCGACGGCAATTTGGTTTCAAATTTCAAATATATAATAGTTTATTTGTAACACATTTTATGTGCACGAGCGTACTTATTAAAGAATTTTGCATAATTTAATAATTCAATTTATATAAAATTATATAATTATAACTATATTACAATAAAATAAATAAGAATTAATATATCTTTCAGTTTATTCTTTTGTAAAGAACTAAATGTTTTATCAAATTTTTCAAAAGAAATATTCAAAAATAATTATTTTCGAAAAATATTTGTCATTAAAAGGTATACATTTTTTTACAATCTATATATATATACACACAAATTATATAATGTCATGATAGTAGTAGAATAGAAACTTTCAATTAATATGAATTTATCATATTCTTATTTTTAAATTTTGTAAGATTAAAAAAGAAATGATCTGATTAAATTACTATCAAAAATTTATATTGCACTTATTTGTTTATCTTAAATTGTATTTTATTTATCTTTGGTATTCTGCATGTAATAAGGTCATCTATTTGACCTCATTTTATTTTATTTGTTCATAGAAAAATTTGTTAATCTTATTTAATATAGTATTAACAAATACTGTTTACAGAAAATTATGCAATAAAAATAAATAATATCTGCATATGTATATGTATATATATATATATATATATATATGTACATACATACATGTATATATATACATATACATATTTGTATATATTACTCTTTTTTAAATGGCATGCATTTTTTATAAACTACTTTTTAATGCAATTAAACAATCCAACTTTTCTAAATATTAAATTTCTAATTGCATATCTAATTGTATATATAATAGGAGAAATTTGGAATTAATCTTAATTTTTATAAAATAAATTTACAAATTATATTTAGATATTTACTAATTAATAATTAAATAATAGATATTAAAACTGATTCATAGTTAGATTGTCTAAATGCATGATCCAATTATTCAAATATATTAATTATGATTTACATATTTTGTTAACTATAAGGTACATAGTAATAAATATTATATACTTCATTATCAGAATTAAAGAAAAATTCTTTAAAAATGTTCTGCTGAGCTTTGGTAGATGAACATTATTACAATTATATTAAAGCTTAGGTATCTGGAATATCATGCTTATCAAAGCCGTCAATTTTCTATTTAGAATCATATCCTCTTACCTAATAAATTCTACTTAGCACTTTGAAGGAGATTATAATTATTATATCTTAATTTTCAACTCACATTTGCTCTTGCATATTCAGCAATATAAAAAATGAATTGCTTATACAGTTGTACTCTTAACGTAGAGAGACAAAAGATTTTCTAATCGATGGATCTTTGATCTAAAAACTTCATGAGAAATTTTACTTTCTTCATTTCTCTTTTTTTTCTCTTATTATTATTTTACAGGTACATCAACATATTTATATGAGCGAAATGAACAAAAAAATAATTTTTATGTATAATTATTAAAAATATATAATTATTAAAAATTCTCTAAATGTCATCTTTTTAGTGATTAAATTTTGATAAGACATATTAAATATTATATATAAATAAATTCAATATGATAGTCACATCAATAATAAAAATTAAATATTAATATATGCTTTAAAATCTTTATGAATGTTTATCATATTTACAAATTATGCATTATTCAAATGACATGCAATTGTTATATATAACAATTTAATGAAGCGATTCAAATCACGATGATTCTTTAAAATAGGAAAAAAAGATCCATGCTCGAAAATTAAATCTTCTGTTTCTATCATATACATATAATAAAAGTGCAGGAACTAATTGCACTAATTTTAATAATAAATAAAGCTATCCCTTAATTCGTCTTTTTAATTATAGTTTCTGAACATTTTCTATTATTTTTTTATTTCGACTCGATTAAATCAATAATGTCAAGAAAAGTAATGCTATTGTTGTTGTTGCAATTGTTGCAATAATGGACACACTTCAACTAAAGGTGTTCCTAAAATTTCTTGACATACTTGATTCATGTCAGGTTCCATCATAAGTGAAGAAATCTGATCCTCCGTTAACATTTCCACACTAATTGTAAAATTTTTATATAATTGGATTAATGAAGAAGAGATAATGTAATTCATATAATAAGATATTTATAAAAAAATATATACCTTGCTAAACTTTCACTATCGGATGTTTCTTCATCAGCATTAAGATAAGTCATTGTTTTTTCCAATGGACTAGGAACTTTTTTTCCTTTTCCTTCTACTTTTTCGGATTTTTCACATTTTTCCTTATCCCTATCTACTATCTTTGGTTCATTAGAACGTCGATCTGTAAGGCTAGATATGTTCAATATCATCATTCCATGATTGAGAAATTCTTTTACTTTTTCTCCTGTACCAGCGCTCCATAACATATCAAGAGATTGTCTTCTACTCGAATTAGCTACAACGATTTAAAAAAAAATGATATTTATATACAATATATTATATTTTAAAAAATGTATAACTGAATATATTTACCTGAACTGCCTCCGCTAGCTTCACTACCAGCAGAACTTCTGGTTATCCAATTAGTTAAACTAGTATCAAGTTTACTTTTATTTTTTATTGATGGACTTCTTGTTACTTCTATTTTCTTTTCATTGCTTAAACTAATTTCATTTCCTTTTGGCATAGTAGGTAATGATTTTTGAGTTACTAATTTTTTTCGACTAGATAATTCATTGAATGATTCAATATTTGCACCATTAGGTGGATTATTACTTTCCGGACTTAAGTCCATTGGTAATGGTTTGTAAGGAATTTGATCTTCATCGTCGGAATATACTTCATTATTGTAATATATTTCGTCTGGAGAATTATTTAAACTAATTTCTGTCCATTCCTCTCCATTTTGTACTGTAGTATTAGTATTTTTTGTATCTATTGGTGTTTGTATTTTTACTCGTTTTTCTATAGGAGAAAGAATATTTGATAAATCTGATAATCTTGAAGTTGAAGAACTTGTTTGATTTAGCGTTATGATATGTTTTGTATCAGTTGCTGCAATGCTTTTTGGACGGTCTCGCTTTATATATTTTCGAGGTTCTGTGGATGAAAGATTCAAATTGCTTAGGCCCAAATACTCAGAAGAAGGCTCTCTATCGATCTGAATATAAAAAATATATATAAAAATTAATATAATTAATATATTTAAAAAAAATCATTTGATGTATTTTATTGATATCATAAAATATAATTACTCTTGTAGGCACAGGACATTGCATATTAGGACTCATCTTATCAGGAAGGCGCAAGTATTCATCACTAGTATAATCTGTACTATCGGGTGATCCAGTAACACTAGAATCAGTTGAAGTTGTTGTATTGGGTTGTAAAGAAGATTGTTGGTCAATGTTATCTCTCGAGGATTTATCAAAATCATCCGCTCCATCATATTTTCTAGTCTGTAAGTAAGAAATAATATTTTATTTCAGTCTAAGAATATTCTGATTTTAAATAATAAAAAGCAATTATACCCTGTGAATTTCATCGCTGATTTTTTCTAAATTTCTGAGTGCTTCTGCATAAGTCATTTTAGCTTCACCAACTGATCTTTCTAATGCACTTACTCTTAATTTTTGTTCTTCCAACATTTGATTAAAATGCGCTTTCATTTCGTAATATGGCCTATATAATAAATTATTTAAAGATTAATAAAATTTATATTACATTTCAAAAAAACTTGCTATTTTTATTCATTTTTAATTCATTTTTAATTAAATGCTGTAAAATAAATATCATACAAAGCTTTAATTAATAAAACAAAATTTTGTCTATGAAATATTTTATAAGAATATAATTCGTGCAAGAATGGGATAATAAATTAGAAAATAAATTGTCAAAAGGGGATTTATGAATAGCAGACACATAAAATAAATATTGTATAAAAAAATAAAAAAATAATTTCTATCCTACTTACAACATGAGCAAGTTGTGCCTGTAGGCGATACTGTTTATCAGAAGCAAGCTGCGACGTGCACCCATACTGCCAACATGAATATAAACCAAAAGACATAAATATTCTAATATCTATATAAAATTAACATAACATAGAATAAGAATAAAAACATAAATTATTAATATTGATATAGGAAGAAAATAAATAAAAATGTTAAAATCATGGAGCAAGAAAATTCTAAAATTAGATTCTAAAATTTAAGTATATATTATATCAAATAAATGCAATACATTCCATGCATTATTAAATAAACTAAAAAATCATTCAATATTACTA